CTGGAATGCATAAAAAAAAGCACCGGAACGCATAAAAAAAAAATGTGAATGTGGAAATACATCTGGAACGCATCTGGACTGCGTTTATAGTGTGAATCGGCCCTCAGTGTTTTAGCCTCGTGACAACCTGTTAGGGGTCATCTTTATCCTTGGTTGCTTGAACAATGCAGTATTCATGCAGTAATGACCATCCACACAGTCTTCTGTGGAAACTCTGAAGAGGGATGCTTCACCTGGGAAGACTAGGCAGCTTCTCATTTCCAAAGCAGGTAACCCTTTCAAAGGGTAACTGGAAATCATTCCTTTAGTGTATTGACAATGTGTTTATTGTATGTGACATCCTGTTAGGTATCATCATCTCTATCCTTGGCTGTTTAAACCAGCAGGATAGTCATGCTCATCTGCATCTTCCTTTTCATAGAGTCTGAAGAGGCTGTCTTGCCTGGCACGGCTATGAGACTTCTAATTGCCAGAACATATAACCCTTTCACAGGGTGAGTGGCAACAACTCCTTTTGACTGCACTGGCCACTTAATGAATGTGACGTGTTGGTGTCATCCTCATTTGTGGTTGCTTGAACAAAGCAAGGTTCACATTGCTGTGTTCATCTGCATCTTCTTTATTGAAAAGTCTGAAGAGGGTTGTTTTGTTTGGGAAAGCTCTGAGACGGCTCATTGCCAGACTAGATAATCCTTTCAGAGGGTTGTTAAAGCAGCTAAAAAAAAAAAGAATGAGGAAAAAAAAAAACAATAATGAATGAAGTAGAAAATAGCTTGCTTAGTAACAAACCCTAAAGGGTAACCACTGCTGCCAGGATGCTGACACTTCAACTTCCAACCATAGCCCTGAAGTCACTAGGTGGTTAATGAACCAAACCTTGCCCTGCCAGAGAACAGGACATGATGAAAAGGTTTTGTGAAGAAAAGCAACAAAGGTAGGAATCTGAAACAGAATTACAATAATATTCTGCAATGTACACAAACCATCCAAGAGAATTGTTGACATCATAAAATTTTTTTTTTTTTTTTTTTTTTTTTTTGAGAAACTGGAGACCACAAACAAATATAAAAGGATGTCCTATACCCCAACAGGAAATGCTGGCTACAGCAATCATCCACAGGAGACTCCTCTCTACCCTTCTCTGGAAATGCTGGTCTTTAGAGGGGGTTGGCATAATGGCACAATAGTAAAGCAAGCATGAGAAGCCACCAACAGGTAACGCCATGTGTGAACAGACAAATTATTACTTTGTACACCTGTTATGGAGGAGCTCAGGGGAAGCACAGCGGCTGCAGGGAGCAAGATACAACCATACCCAGCAATGCAGTATTCATTTGGATACAAAGCATTTTTACATTTAGCTCACCCAACCTCTGCCATCTGACTAAACACTGGCACTGCGTGGGTGTGCCTGCCTAGAGGATACTCTGCTGACACTGCTGCCCACTTCACATGGACCCAGCGGACCCCAAACAGGGCTGTTAGCCATGATAAAAGCCGCCCTGAGGACCAGCAGCGGGGCTCCCTGGATTATCAGTCATTTAGCCAGTACACCAGGGACCATGTCCAGCTGAAACCCACATGCATGGACGGACAGCCAGCCAGGTAGAGGAGCACGCCTAGGTCCTGAACATGGGAGGAAAAAAGAGGAATGCTGAGGCTGCAGGAGGGCTCAAATTTATGAGTTAGGTCCTGAAAGCATGGGGGGGGGGGGGGGCAAGGCCCTTACCCAGCTGTGCTGACATGGAGCTGTCAGGAAAACTGTGTACAAATTCCTCGTGCACACTTGACGTTTTTACAGCGGCTGTTTCTGGCTTTTGACATTTTTTTCTACAGCTAGTAAAAACACTCTAATGCGTCAAAACTGCGCAAACTGGCATTTTTGGATGTTTGGGGTTTTTTTTTGATCAACAAAAAAAAAAATTTGGGGGGGTAAAAAAAACCTGCTAACCGCAAACGCGGAAAAACGCCACTAAATGCTAATGCAAAAATGCTAAAAAAAAGCTGAAAAACATCACGTTTTTAACATAACTTTACACAGCTAATGTTAGCAGCTTTATCAAAACGTCCCGTGTGCATGAAGGCTAATGATCATATTATCAGCGGATCGCTTCCAAAGTGTTTTTTTTTTTTTTTCTGTCCAATATTCTCATGTGTGCTAGGGATAAGTCTGTTATTTTTCAACATTCTTCGACAGCTCAAGCTGTCTAGCAAAAGCGTCAGAGGGTTGAGACATTTAACACTGGCAGGAGTACTTAAAACAGCTTTTATTCATTTATGTAAAACTGTTTGCTGTAACCTCTTAAAAAGTGTTAACTGGAGTTTGGCTTAATAAAGTCAATCAAAGAGCTCATTTACACTTGCATTGCCCTCTGATAAAGTGATCTGGGGTGGATAGCTGAAAGGTGTTACATCGCCTCCTCAGTGACTGCTTTACTCCTGTAAAGCACATACAACTACATGCACTACATATGGATGCAGCATGGCCCCATTCACTTGAAGTTGTGTTCATCGGTACTGTCCAGCAACCACAAAAAATTTCTTGTATGATATTTTTTTTTTTTTTTTTTTTACTGTTAGTTTCAAGGTTTTTTTTGTCCTGTGCACTCTCCCTGTCTGCAGCTGTTGCACCTCACAGCTGGTCACGTGCTCTGCTTTATGCGTACTACAATTATTATAGATCTGAATGTATCTTGAGGTAGATGTGTGGCTACATTCACATGCACAAGGGGAGCATAAAGAATGAATATAGCCACCCTAGAAAAGAAAGTCTGAGAACAGCAGAAACATAAAGCAACTCAAAGCACTCTTAAACCCCCTCCAAAAATGTTTATGCTCGCACACGTAAACATAAACATTAAAAAATGGAGCTTGTGATACACGTTGCATATCAGCGTACACTCCCACAGTAATCCTGGGTTAGGGGCTTGTGAAGCATTGTCTGTGGAAAATAAAGGTGAGCGCTTAGTCTAATTAGTTTAAGAGGGAGGCTTGATATGTGTTTTTTTTTTTTTTTTTTTGTACTAACCAGGGGTGGACTGACCATTTGGAAACTCGGGCACTGCCTGAGGGACTGGGGTCAGTAGGGGGCCCCATGAGATGCCCCTGGTACCTTTTTCATAGGCTTTTTTGAGTTTGGGCAAGGACACAGGGGCCCCATGATCCCCTATTGCCGGGGGCCCAATGAGTTGTCAGTCCGCCCCTGGTACTAACCTATGATGACACTCCATGAGTTGGCCGGCCCTATAGTCCGCCACTATCATTTGCCAACATATGCCCCCTTTATGGCCTGATGAAGGAGCATGCCACACCTACTGCTGCTGTACATGGAGCTGACAGCACTCCTGTCTGCCCTGTAGATCCACACCGACCAGAAAGTACTGGAAACCACCAGCACATCAAGGACAGTGCCTGCATCGGAACTGTCCAGGAGTTGCACAGCAGTTAACACTAGTTCGATAAGTGCTCATTTGACTACTACTATTGTGAGTTGCCAATTTTGTGGAAAATGATCATTTGCTTATATTGCTGCACTTAGATGGCGCTTCGTCTGTTTTTTTTATGGAAAATAAAGGAGAACCAAAGTTTGTCATCTTTTGCAGGCACATACAAAGTTAGTTTGACTTGCTAGGTATCTATTTACTTGGGGCAACTTCATCTTTTATATTTTACTAAACAACCTGGTAATATATTGTGTTTTTGTGAACTAAAATTAACTTAAAGCTAAAAACTTTACTCTCTAAATCGAGGACGATTTTGAATCCTTATGCTGCTAGCATTAGTAAATGGATGGAAAAGTATATAATATTTACCCCTTGTACACTGATGTTCTGATTGAGTCCGTCTGTCCATTTTTTAGACAGACCCGATTGGAACCTCTATTCTACTGTATGTAGTGGTCGGTGTAAACGAACATGTCTGTTTACACCCACCTACAGCCAATCTGATTTGTCAAAAGGAGACGGATGGGGATCTGTTGCCCTTCCGTCCAGCAGATCAGATGGTATTCAGGTGTAAACCGACAGGCGGTCTGTTTACATCTGACCGCCCATAGAGGAGAGCGGTCTGCATAAGCAGAACTGACATGGACCTGTCATCCACCTGCTCAGCGGGGATCGTAGCCTTGTGCCCCAGGTTTTCCTACCCCTCCTGGTTACCCTGGATCTCCATGGCATGCCTAGGGAAGGACACCTGCATAGTATGAACCCAGAGGTGCTCAGTTCTGAGCACTTCCGGGTTCAGAGCTTTAAAACCCTGGTGGCTGTGGCCTGTGAAGAAAATTTGGTAAACTTTATTTTTTTAAGTTAAAAAAAAAACAAAAAAATTAAAAGCCTTCTTCTACAATGTACATACCCATGTGAATGTGCATGTCGGTTGTGTACAGGTATGAAAATGACTACTGTGGCACATGTAATGGGCATCACCAAGCAAACCTAAGGAAATGCAGTAATTCTACAGCCATCATTCACAGTTAGCACTAAACATAGGTATGACCCCTAAAGCTTTTATAGTGTCACATATGGACATTTTTGGGTACTGTGCTGTAGTTTTTTATCGATTTCATGGACGCACTCTATTTTGAGGTTGAGAAAAAAAATTTGCATTTTAGTATGTGTACACAAATTTTAAAAAAAATGGCTCTGGCAGCACAAGGGTTAAAGCAGAGGCAAAACTAAAAAAGGTCTTGTCACATTTTAGTTATCAGTATATTATGTTTATTGAAGAGAGGCAACCAAAGGTAAAGCCCCTTGGTTTAGTCATAAAGGTTTATGTGGTCCATTTGGTGACTATTGTTACAAAAAATGCAGCAACTATATCACCAGATGGCTATAATACACCCACACCTCCAGTCTCCCCTGTATTTCTTCACGTTTTGTGTCCAGCTTTTCTTTGTTCTGCAACGACAAGATGTGCGCTTTTATCAACTGTACATCTTGAAGCATTCTTTCCAATACAGAAAGGGTAAGATCCCCATCTACCAGTTCCTCGTCCACAGGCTGTACATCCCTGGAGCAAGACTTGAAGAAGAGTCCTGGCAAAATATACACACATCTTTTCAGTATGGGCATTTTATTGCATTGCACCCTGCTCCAATATATCTATAATGCACATTTGTCATGAAGACGTTGCTTTAAGGACAGCTGCCCCGTTGGTACAAATGTCCCCTAATCCATTCCCCCTGCCTCTCTGGGTGATACCCATCTGGATAAATACATACTTCCCTCCCCAATCCAGTGATCTTCAGGAAGTCGGGACCGCTGGAGGCCTTCATACAAATGAATAGGGACATGGAGCACATGTGCTGCTGAAGAAGGACCCAGTGGAGAATCCTTTTCTGGAAATAGATTAAGGAAGAACACAAGTATTTGCCCAGGTGGGTGGCACTCAAGAGAACACTTTGTGAAAGGCTGATTACATATTATTGATTATTCACCCAATTCATGAATTTGCATTCTACACACCAAAGCAAAGAACTGCTGTATATTCTAAAGCACAGCCATATGCTTCATACATGTTCAGATTTGATTTTCACTTTAAAGTAGGGGTAAGACCTTCACTTGCTTTATAAATCTGCCCCTCAAGAGCTTTTTTTTTTTTTTTTTAAAGTGAAGCGCCAAAATATAAGGAGTGTGCTAGCATAGCATGTCCTTACAAAACATGTCCTATAGAAATGACAAGCTGAAAACTGATTGGTTAATAATGCAACATATACTCACTTCTCATAGGTTTGTAAAAGTTTTCATCCACTGACAAAGTAAATGGCAGGAGATAGGACAGGTAATTTTTAAAGCAAACTGGAAGACTATGGAGGACATTAGTCAAGCAAACAAGCAACACAATTTGTCACAAATCAGACTACGTCTCCTTCAGCAAAGTATCTGTGACAGGTTTACAGACCTGTGTATTTGCATTCCTGAGCAGCCAAGTGCAACAGTTTGCAGAGTTCTGAGACTTAATACTAGATTATTAGATTTATTACTGAAGATAAGACAGATTTAAAATCTAAAGAGATGTGTAATTAATAAGTGGCGAGGGTCATGTTTTCAGTCACAAGTGTTACTTTAGAGCAGCCAAAGGAGGAATTTATGACCCAGGCTGTAGCCTTGTAATAAATCTGTCTCATGGCGTGTCTTACTGCACTTATTTAGCATTGCTTTGCCTTGTGACAGAATAGATAAATGTCCCCCTATATATTTTTCTTCCTTATCCAATGAGGGAAACAGGAATGTAGAAACAGGTTATACTGCTACCTACAGGAGGTTGGGACACTGGCAAACAGAAAAGAAGACAGCCCAGTATGCTCCACCCAGCATGGCTCTTTTTTTTTTTTTGCTAGTGTTTTTTATTTAGCACTTTTTGGGTACTTTTTTAGTTAGCACTGCTGCTCACCTTCATTTTATGGAGTTTTTTTCTCAGCGTTTTCATTCAAAATTCCTCACTACACCACAGCTTGAGCTTTATAGCAGTTATCTGGATTAGTATTTCCTTAGCAATTGCTTTGGAGGCCATTACCCTGTTTGGCTGGATGCACGAGGTTAAACTGGAATGTGACCTTGTGCATTGTGGCACTTTCCAGACCTTTGTGTGCTGTGTTAGCAGTGAAACTCTTTCTAGGTCGAGAGTGGTGGCACAGCCTCAGGTGTGACCCTTTCTGTGAAGACTCAGTTAATAATACTGGTTGGGGGAAAGCACCAGGGGCTACCTCAGCCACTGCACCACTAAGCACCTTTCAAATTTTATGCCACTGTCAGTTCGTACTTTGGTGAAGGTTAAGGATGAGGGATCAAGTACAGGTTGGAGTGCTGGTTGTGAGCACTCTGCATTCTCTTTCCCACTTTACCTTGAACCGGGTTGCTTAACACCATGCATCACAACATGTCTTCCCAAAGACAAACATAAACCAGTCCAGCTGCCAAAGTTGACCTCAGCCCATACCCCCCTAGTGGTTCTGGAGGAATTTACCCCCCATATATTCAGATAGAATTGAGGCCTGAAACTGGCACTTGAGACCCCTATTGTTTTAGGGTTGTCATCTGCAGAGTCTGCTTAGCTCCATTGGGTGGGGCCAAGGACTTCTCTATGTCCACTCTGGACATCCTGTTTGTGCCTAGTTACTGGAATATTCTGCCAACAAGGGCTCTAAGGGCCCTGTGGTGCCATCCCCAGCAGCACCTGTCCCTGACCCACATAAGACCATAAATGAAACTGGACCTTCAGCCCGTTATCATATCAGGGTCCCAACAGTCTGTATCTGGAGAGGATGTTTGTGGGACACCACCATGTCCTACAGTTGAATTGGTTATCATGCAGGTTGTTTAATCTCATTGATGCTGTTCCAGACTTGGGTTCTTGTAGAGCTGCATCTGTCACAGGCATTTGTCAAATGCCAACTATGTCTGCCCTTTTTGCCTCTGTGCCCCATTCATAGAAGCCATATTATCTGTTCCCACAATGAAAAGTGCTCTATAGTTGGAGGAGGTAGGCCTTTCATTCATCCACTCTTCCTCTAGTCACAGAGCACATTTTATTGTGGAAACCAATATTACGGCTTCTATGAATGAACAAGAGGGGCAAAAAACATATTTTGGAATGTATAGGATGGTTTAAAATTGTTGCAATTTTTAGTGAGCACCTGAAGAACACATTCGTAACAGATGCTACTTTCAACTGTATTTTTCTATTTCTTTAATTTATATTCTATTATTTTCCATTCTATTTTATTCAATTTTATTCTATTCTATTCCTTTATAATCGATTCTTTTCTATTCTGTTTTATTCTATAGTATTTCATTCTATTCTATAAAGCAGCTTTGGTAGGAATCATAATCTTATTTCACTTTTATACCTTGCTGTATTTATCACAATATGTTTACATTTCAAATTTGTTTAATTTGTTTTGTTATAATTTATTTCAGATTCATTGAAATTTGTTACTATTGTGATTTGGAAAATTGGACACATCCGAATTAACCGAACATTTTGTCCCATTCGTAACAAAACAAATTGCACATGTCTACTGACTAGAGGTAGCTGTTGAAACACTTGCCAAATATCAAAGTAATATATGAAGAATGTATAAGAGGCAATAGTGTGAATGATGAGAAACACTTTTGAGTCACATGGAATAAAAATACTTGAGTTTAAAATATAGAAGATACAACCATCAATTAAAATAAACATATCACAACCCTGGCCAATTCAAACTGAGCATATGCTATCAGAATGATCAGACGATCTAGAGGGGAGACTGGAGCCAAACTCAACTTGAAGCTGAATTTTGCTAATTAGTTTAGCTGCCTATATATCTGGATCCACTCATTCATTTGATGTGTTTTATCGTTGAAAGTAGCATCTGTTACGAATGTGTTCTTCAGGTGCTCACTAAAAATTGCAACAATTTTAAAACCATCCTATACATTCCAAAATATGTTTTTGCCCCTCTTGTTCATTCATAGAAGCTGTACTATCGGTCTCCACAATAAAATGTGCTCTGTGACTAGAGGAAGAGTGGATGAATGAAAGGCCTACCTCCTCCAACTATAGAGCACTTTTCATTGTGGGAACAGATAATATGGCTTCTATGAATGGGGCACAGAGGCAAAAAGGGCAGACATAGTTGGCATTTGACAAATTCCTGTGACAGATGCAGCTCTACAAGACCCCAAGTCTGGAACAGCATCAATGAGATTAAACAACCTGTTTGATAACCAATTCAACTGTATTGTGGAAGGTGGGGGTGGGCATGAGATGTTTACTATTTTCAAATGGGAGCTGGCACTATTTAGGGTGTCTGCTGTATAATAGCTGTGTTGGTTTGATGTTTATAAAACTAACCACAGGTTTCCTTTAACAGTTGTACATAGAGAATAGCATGGATTCATTACCCTGAAAGACAGGACATTTCTTCTTAGAAGTCACTTCTGTTTTTTGGACTTTACCACCAATATACATTATAAAGATAACTTCCAAAATCCCCATAATTATCAGTAACATGGTTCCGATGAAGAACATCACTGAAAAAGAGAATAAAGTGTGTAAAAGATACAGTTTTGAACTCTTTTACAAGAAATCTAATCCACAGAGGTGTACAGTACATTTCCAATACAACAATGCTGGTTAGTGTGTGTGTCCAAAATGAAGGTTGCTACTAATCAGTTCATGATGCAAAATTGTCCTTTTTAGATACATAACCTAACATTTTTCCTTTCCTGTCTGGCTTACAAACACGTCACCAATTTATAATTAGAAAATAAAGCTCTACTCCAGTCTGCCTCCAGAGACCCAATTATTCCCTTACTGGGCACCACCACCACTCTACTACAGTCCACCTCCAGAGACCCAATTATTCCCTTACTGGGCACCACCATCACTCTACTACAGTCCACCCCCAGAGCTCCAATTATTCCCTTACTGGGCACCACCACCACTCTACTCCAGCCTGACTCCAGAGGCCCAATTATTCCCTTACTGGGCACCACCATCACTCAGTACAGTGGAGGTAAAGCTGGAATGCCAGTTAAAGCCAAAGATCTAAAAGACACCTTTCTGTGATGTCATTGATTTCTACCTACCAGTAGACATAATCAATGACCAGGAGGAGTGGTTAGAGATTGACATAAGGGCTTATCTATCAAATTATGAGGATGCCACCATGCTGACAAGCTTCGGTAATGGAAAAATTCTTTTTAAGGCTAAATCTACTTTATCTGTTTTGAGCAATACTAACGGCTTTCATTAAATTTCTTAGCTGAACTTATCACAAAAGTATGAAAAAATCCAATATCAGAATCTTACCCTTAGGCCCACGTCACACCGATGGTTCTGCCAATGGCAAATTTCCAAGGTGCAGCTGCCACTCAAGGGAAGTCATTCCTTTGTTGGCCAAAACACCACAGTTTCTCAGTAGCTAACAGCAACAAAGCAATATCTTGCTGATTCAGCCAGTGAGGGAGGCACAAAGGAGAAGGTAGGTCAACTCATCTGTTAACATAATCACTGGTGTGTGATGAACCTTGGGAGCAAAAGTACCTAAAGGTATGTCTATGAAAGCAGCAGTTGGACCCACAGGCAAGAAATCTGAAGTAGTCTTTAAATACGTTTGAATTTAACTCTTGCATGTTCTCTAATTACCCTCCACTTGGCCAATATCAGTGCTGAGCCAAGTATTTAAACATTGCAATTTTGTTTCAAGCTGTATTCTTACCAACAACTGGAGGTACATTGGTGGAAGCTGGCAGGTAATCATTAAGGATGATTGCCAGGACGGATATGCCCAGAAGCACTGTAAGTTTAAAGTTGGCCTTTTCTTGATAAGATTTGGGAATGAAGTAGGATAGAAGGTCCAGGACCAAAAGGAACAAAGTAGGCACAATTAGGCTGAACATGTAAATGCTTGATTTGCGTTTCATGACTGCCTAAAGAATAATTGCAGAATACATAAAAAGAGAAACAGTAAATGAAAGTATATTTATGTGACTTGCGCATATTTCCTTTACTGACTTTTGTGCATTTAGGCTCCATGCACACTGGACGTTTAGCCCCAGTGCATGAGGACCTGGCATTTAAGAAGGCACAGGCGCACCATCCAGCCCTGCTGCCAGCAGTCTGTAAAAAGTCTGTAAGAGGCTGACAGCTGCATGGGGCTGGACAGTGCATCAAATATTTGGAGCAGACTGCTTGCTTTCCTGGCATTTGTTCCAAGGTGCATATTGCCCCAAACATTAGTAGAACTTGATGCACTGTCCAGCAGCACCTAAACGCCAGAGCCTCATGCATCGGGGTTAATCGCCCAGTGTGCTTGGTGCCCTAAAGGAAAATCAATCTGATTGTAGGCTAGGGGATTTTATTTATTGGTCATTGTAACAAGGTAAATTAGTACATGCCTCAAATGATTAAAGTATATCTAAAGCCAATACATGGAAACAGTTAAACCTCCTGTCAGTTTTTTATTGCTGTCTTTGTCCCCTTAGGGAGATTTCCCTTCACTTCCTGTCCAAGAAACTCAACAGGAAATTAGGTGCCCTCTGTGCTGGGGACAACTGTATAATTTTGTATTTCCCATCATTATCTGTCCCAGTGACAAAGGTTGCCAGGGCAAACAGTGACAGCAATAAAAACTCATTTTAAAAACCACACTCCACAAAAAAAAAAAAGAAAAAAATAGCTTTAAATTCACATTAAAAAAGTAGATAGAGCTGAAACAAAATTATTCAAGGGCCTGGTGCAAAAGATGGACAATGATCACATCATAGCTCATATAACATCTTTTCTTTTATCTATTATGCTGCAATTTTTTGATGAAAAGGTCTCTGTCCTCATTAGTAAGCCTCATGTGCCTACCACGCTGCACAATATAGTATTGTATACTGCAATCAAATGGGGGTTGTTGTAGTTATGCTTATATTTTATAGCCTCAGAGACCCGGGAGCTGATGCACACTCTTCAATATGGGTTAAAGAGAGGTAAAAGCTAATACAGACATGATAAAGGGAAGAAAGCCTGGCAAATTACAACTGTGCTGTCTAGCTAATTGCAGCCCTCTGCAACCCAAGGAAGGAGAAAAAGACATTGCAGTGACATAACCTCCTCCTCTGTAAAGTATGATAAGTTTAGCACTAGCTATTCTATGCTGTGGCGGATCTCCTTGGTGGATATCCTTGATGGATACTGGGGGGTGAGTTGTGTTATCTGGGGTGCAGATCTCACTGGTAAGCTGAGTGTGTGTTGGAGTGCTAACCTTACTTGTGACATTGTTATGGAGACGTAAACTATGTACAAGTTTTCAGATCTAACTGATCTAATGTCAGAACCTGAATCCCTGATCACCTCCTGGTGGCACTGTGGTTCCCGGAGTTGATGGGTGCAGTTCCGGTGGCCATCATCAAGTTTCTCCCAGCAGCCAGCTGATCCCTGTAATTAGGCTCCTCCTGATTCTGGCTACTGGGAAAGTGTATACCTTGTCCCTTGATTTGCATCATTGCTTCAGTGTTTTGCCTGTTAGCTTGTACACTGTATCCTGTTACCCCATATGTGCTCCACTTGTTCCTAGTTCCCAGTCCCAGTTCTGCTCATGCCCTTTCTATGTCAGCTTCCCTCCACTTGTATATAGTGTATATATTTATGCTAGAGTATAAACCTCATTGGTGGCATGGATAATGGGAAATGAAATGTGTGGGCTGTATCAAAATTTACTGGTGCTATGGATATAATATGAGATGAGCTGTGTGTGTTGTGGTAGAACTGGCTGATGTGAAGGATAATGAGGATTGAGCTGTACGTTCTGTGGCAGAACTGGCTGGTGCTATGCATTAAAGGGGGAGGGGCGGGTTGAGCAGTGTGTGCTGTGGTACAACTCACTTGTGCTATGGATAACGGAGAGTGAGCAGCACATGCTGTGGCAGAACTCGCTGGTGCTATGGATAGTGGGGAATTACCTGTTTGTGCTGTGCAGAATTACCTGGTGCTATGGATAATGGGGAATGTGCTGTGTATGCTGCGCAGAGCTCCCTGGTGCTATGGATAATGGGTGTAAGCTGTGTGTATTGTGAAGAACAGAAGCACCCACTGGTGACATTGTGGTCCTCTGGCCTTAAAGGTGTGGTTCCAGTGTCCACAGCAGGTCCCAGGAATTAGTCTCCAGTTGATACTGGTTGTTGGGAGAGCATTTATCCCCTCCACTAGCTTTTCACAGTGCTTCATCATTCTGTCCTGTGTGCCAAACATCTTGAAATTGTTGCTCTTGCCCTGATCCTGATTCTGTACTTGTTGCCCTGACCCTTGCTGCCTTGAAGCGGTTACCCTGATCCTACCATTTGTACCTGATCTCTGTTCTGGCCCCCTTCCTGACCCATATCACCCGCTGTTGCTTGCACCTCCTGCCTTACCTGCCTTATCTGATCTCTCCCATTGCTTTTTATATAGTGTATTATAGTTACTTTGTTTTTCAGTAGGTATCACTTGTCATGTGTGTTTCACTATTGCTTGTATAATATTTGTGGTGTGGATGTTTTTTTAGTTGCGGTGTTATTAATAAACCTTATTATAAAACTTTACTTAGTTAGGGTCCAGTCTCCTTTGTACAGCTGCACAGATCTGATCACCCCTGCGTTTACTGCATATTGGCACTTGGTATCCTAACAGGTGAGTATCCCTGTCAGGGATACCACAGAAATCCAGCAAGGATGACCAGATCAGCGAGCTGCACCTTAAGAAATCAGGAACCAGGCTGAGTAAAGTTAAAGTTATGAAGTTTATTAACATAAATATCACTCTTACAACCAGGGGCGGACTGACCATTTGGAAACTCGGGCACTGCCCGAGGGCCCGGGGTCAGTAGGGGGCCCCATGAGATGCCCCTGGTACCTTTTTCATAGGCTTTTTTGAGTTTGGGCAAGGACACAGGGGTCCCATGATCCCATATTGCCCGGGGGCCCCATGAGTCCACCCCTGCTTACAACACCGACACCAATAAACCATAAATAATGTAATGTGACAAAATAGTGAAAGTGCAGCAACCCAAATGATAACCTAAGTACTGTAAATACAAATGGAGGGAGCAAACACACGCAGGACAAGGTCAGGACTAAGACAGGAAACAAAAGGAGTAGCGAGCAAGGTACTGGAAGATCTGGATGCAGGGGGCTGGTCACAGGAACAGGTCTTAAGGTCAGGTGCAGGTACAGGAACAGGTCTTAAGGTCAGGTGCAGGTACAGGAACAAGGATGAGGAACAGGGAACAAGGCTCAGGACCAAGGATCAGACTGAGGCAGGGACCCCGGCTTGCAGGAAGAATACTGAAGCACTGAACTTCAGTCAAGGGCAGGATTGTATACCTCCCAGCAGCCCACATCAGGTGCAGCCTGAGTACTCAGACAGCCCAGCTGCTGGGAGACACCTGTTGGCGATCACCGGAACTGCACTCTTTGACTCTGGGAACAACAGTGCCACCAGCAGGTAACCCAGGTGATGACAATTCCTGACAATTTCACCACCAGCAAGCTGCTGCTTCTGGTTAAAATCTTCCTTCATAGCCACCAGATACTGTCCTAAGCAGCTGTCTTTTGGAGATGTTAAAGTTAACTGCAGCTGCTACTGAGAAAAGTTGTGCCACTATTCCCCTCACCCTCTCCACCATTCAGAGTGTTTGTATTACTATTATCACACCATGCATTGCACTGTGAATGGGCAGTGGATATCCTGTCATTAAACTGCTCCTCCCCCATGCACAGGATCTAATGCATTGTCAGTATCGTAGCACATTGTCCTAAACAGGGACTATTACCCATGTTTAGTTTTTGACTGGGTTGTGGTCAGCCCAGAATGATTGGTATTGTTTTTCACTTGGTCTTTCCCTTAGCTCAGGGGATTTTCGATTTCTTACTACTGCCAGTAGTTGTTACCGGTACCACCATCATTAGTATGAGATTTTGAAACAAGTCTGTGTTATGTATATTTATATTTCCTTTCGGCCATTCCAGTAGGAGGTTCAGGCCACTGGTGCATGTTGGGGGGGTATAAATATTGGAGGCAGGGGACTTGTTTGTAAAGTCATTCGTTTTTCTCTTTCTTCTAAAATAACATGTTATAGTTACCTGCTCTGTGCAATGTTATAACACAGACTATCCCTGAACCTCCTCTTCTCCAGTCTTCCACCCAGTGATGAAACTACCAGGGTCGCAAAGGTCGCACTTGGTGGGGGGGACCCAAGAGCTCGGACTGTAGCTGCATGGAGACAGTGTGTACTACACTCTCTCTCTCACACAGCCCACAGACAACACTTGACAGCCCGCTCCATTCCCCCCCCCCCCCCTCGCACGAATAGGAAAGGAGAGAGAGCTGGATGAGGTCCTCCTCCTCTCACCCCTCTCCTCCCTGGCAGCACTGTGGTCAGAAAGGGGATGCGTAGGTGGGCAAAGCTTAGCAGCTGGCAACTATATCATGGAGAAAGTGTGCAGAGTGCCTGAGACTCCTTCCTGGGGTGACTGAGCTCACCTTCCATGGTGTTTGAGGTGTCCCCCCCCCCCTTTCCCTTGACAGACTCTGAATACTCTGTTGTAAGGGGGAACTCTGTGGACTGTAATGTAAAGGGGGACTCAGATGTAAAAGGTGCTTCATGGACTCTGACGTAAGGGGGGGCTATGGTGAGAGGAGACCCTGTTACATCAGATTTCCCCTTTACACCAGAATCCACAGCGTCCCCCTTTACATAAGAGCCCCTGCTTAAATCAGGGTTCCCTTACATCAGAGTTTCCCTTTACATTACAGTCCACAGGGCTCCCCCTTACAGTGTAGATGCAAATTCTCCAGACTCTGATGCAATGGGGGGCCCTGAGAACCCTGATTAAAGAGGAATGTTGGA